TATATATATATATATGGGAAAATACTTTTCATGTTGTAGGAGAATATCTTCTCCTATTTGCAGTGTTGTGAAACTCGGCCCGGCCGAGTCTACCTAAAACTCGATGAACCAGTCATTGGTTTGGTTCGGGTCAAGCATAGGATAGGTCATGCATCAAACCCGATCAAAATCGGTGACCCGTTCGGGTCATGCATTTTTTTTTAAAAAAAAATTCAAAATTATTTTATCTTGTCAGAAAAAAATGTACAACTCATTTTAAATTTTTTTGTAATTTTATTTGCTAGTAATATACTCTTCTACAATGACTTCAAATTTCAGTTTTCAATATTGAGGCAATTTCCGAAACAATAAATTAAGAGAACGTGACATATGTCATTTCAATATAGATGAATTTGAAAAATATGAGTTCACAACTTTTGACATTTTGAATGTCATTGAGAGGTATGCTTATGGGAATTCTAAGTTGCAATATAAATTGACATAGTAATAATGTATTTTCATTTATTTGTGTTTTATGAATTTGTAAAAGTGTGATTGGATAATTTTTGAGTTTATTTAGTGAACCTTGTTTAACCTATTTTAGATATAAAAATATAATTAAATTTATATGTTCATATTTTTACATATTTATACATATATTTTTATATATATCAAGATCAACCGGTCCGACCAGTAATCCAAAAACTTAATACCTTAATTGACTCGATGCCCGAATCAATTTTAATAACACTGCTATTTGTCTCATGTTGAAATTCGCGCTTCACTTTTGTTTTTTAAAAAAGAACCGTGGGGCTCATTCTTTGTTCTATTAATAGGAAAATTAAAAATTTTCGTGCAAGAGAAGTTTAAATCTTATATATGGAAAAATATTTTTCTTATTAGGAGAGATAAAATTATCTCCTGCAATTTTAAAATGATTTCGTTTTAGGGCTTTTGATTAAAAATAGAAGATATTTTGAAAATTTTACATTCCCCTTTGTTATCATGACTTTTATTAAATGCCATTTATTTTTAATTTTAATCCTAAAATAACATCATTTTGACTTTTGAGATTATAAAAAATAAAATTATTGGTTAAAATAGGATCGCTGCCTGGATGTTACAAAAGATTATGGCTGAGGAGGAGCGAATGCCAGAATAAGTAGAAGGAAGTGCTACCAGGTAATTTCACTGGTTACAGATTTGTAGAAAAAAGACCGTTATTCGGCCTCAACTAAAGATCTAGAAACAGTGTTCTGGAGTTTAGATTTCTAGGACACTAGTAAATGGCCAATGAAAACAAGTAGCCTGATATAATTTTTTTGTATAAGGACAATTACCTGTTTTAAAATTAGAAAAAAGTTGACCAATATTCTTAGTGATTTATTTCAGAATCACTCTATATTCCTGTGGGTATTTTTATCACATGTATCCATATGCTTTGTAAAAAATTATTATTTTTTTATCACATATGTCTCTGTTATTTTTTACATTTTACAAACTACAGGAGTATATATGATAAAAAAATAAAAAAATCACAAGAGTATAAATAATTCTGTAATAAACCACAAAGGCATTAATAAATTTTTCCCTTAAAACTAATGGGTAAGTAATTGACCTACTAATAATTATAAAACTAACTAACTTTCTTACACTAATATTAATCACCAAAGGTATCCCCTTTCGAAGCAATCATCTAAGAGAAGTACAAGGTATCAAAATCCAACAAATTCGCAAAAAGCCTAATATACTTCTTGTGAAGCTCTCATAAACTTTTATGCTTTATGTTAGGCCCTTGTATTTAATCCTACTTTGATTGTAAATATATCCATTTAATCTCAAAGTATTTATTTCAACTCTTACGTACTTGTTAGTCTACATGTCCAGCTACAGATTAACTTGCTTTATGGATCGAAATTAATTCTATTTTTAATTTTTTTTCTAATTTACCCGAGAAATCTCATCTCTTACTTACTAAAGTGGTGGCCATATATGACTAGCTGTATATTCATTTTTTTTTATTATAAATCGTTTTAACGAAAGAAAGAAGGGTAATTCAGTTTATGAAATTTATTCTAAAAGCAAAATCCTACGATAGTTAACAAGAGAAGTTGGTATCCTCTTATCTAATCAATAAATTTTTGGTGCTACTATCGCACCAAAGTAGGGTTGGCAAAAAGGGCCAATCCGGCTCGACTCGACCCAACTCGCATGTAACCTGAAAAAAACAAGCTGGATTAGGGTTGGTTTGAAAAAAAACACGAGCCAGAAAACTCAATTCAACCCGACTCGAGTTGGATTAGGGTTGGGTCGCGGGTTGGCTAAAAAATATGACTCGTGAGTCGAGTTGGCTTGAAAATTGGCTCGCGGGTTGGCTCGTTTTCAGCCTATTTAAATGAACCTGTAGTATTAATGCACTGGCTTCCATCAGCTTAAACAAAGGGTTACAAAATGAGATATAAAAGCAAAATATTATAGTTTCGAATTTTCTTCACAACAAATTTGCACCAACATCAAGAAACAGTCAAACCACTTGTTACCGAATGGGTAAGATATTTGAACAAAATAGAGCCAGCACAGACTAACAATATAAAAATAGTAAGGATGTGAGAAGATTAGGAACTTGGGTTTAGAGAAGGAAGAAAGATGATGACAACATGCGTAGGTTTTGTCCATTTTTGTATATTATATTTTGTATTTAAAAAAAAAAACTCAACCCGCGAGCTAACCCGTTTGACCTGGGGGTTGGCTCATTTTTTCCCGAGCTAGCTTGGGTCGGGTTGGCTCGGGTTAGCAGCTCATTTTTGTCAACCTAACCCGACTCATTTTTGGCGGGTTACGAGCCAACCCATTTTTGCCAACCCTACACCAAAGATTTAGTACATCCCACCAATAAAAACATTATATGTCAGCCAACATTATTTCTTCTCTGCCAAATTCTCTCTCTCCTTGACATGTAATACTCCAATTGATGAGATGCACTTAATCTAGGTGCATCAGATGCACTAAGATTTATTCCTATCTAATGAGTGGGTTTTTAGAAAAAACAGACTACGTCACATACAATGAAAAGACAAAAAGAAAAAAAGGAAAAAGAGCCAAGAGAAACTCTTTTCTTCTAAGGGTATGTTTGGTGCATAGTATAGGATAAGTTCTGATAGTATATGACCTGATTGAATTTTAATACTATCCAGCGTTTGGCATTATATTGTATAAAATAATATATTGTATAAGATAATATCATCTAGTATTTAGTAATACGCTGTATAATGCTATATAGGATAAAAATAATTATTTTTAATAAAAATATCTTTTAATAAAGAATTTATATAATTCTTCAAAAAATATCATATGATATTAATTTTTATAAAAATCTATTGATCAGTGTGTTCAAAAAATAAAATAATTTTTATAAAAATAAAATATTCAATATTTTAAAATTTAATATATTCAAAAATTAATTTTTATTTTAATATATTAATATTAAAATAATATATTAATTTTTTAGAATTGCACTGGTCAACGATGTTAATACACCTTTAGACCGGATTAAGTTATACATCGCTTTGATGTATTAAGGGATTCTGCTGTATAAGCTTATACTATACGGTGTCACACTAAATAACTGAAAATGTCATAACGTATAGTATAAGCTTATACTATCATGCCCTAAACGTATATTTTTGTGACATGATTCAAAATGGTAATCAAATTTATAAAATCTTTTTAAATACCTATAATGTTAAAAAAAAAACTTCAAAATTATCATTTTGGTTTACTTTTACTCAGGTTGTGCTGTTAGCATAAACAAGAAATAACAACACTTGCACTTGAGTCCAAGATTTCAAATCTATCAATGTTTAGCTGGAATAAATGCATTCCAGTTTACTACATAAGGCTGAACATCATAGTTACTCCAAGTTGCCAAACTGGGGTTGATGATGGAATGGATCAAGCTGTCAATTTAATTTTTTTCTACTTATATTGGCTTGGGGAGTTGCGATGGGTAATCAAACAAAGAATGAATTCAATGTCCCTTATACATAGTCTCCATCATTCTCTTCCAACACTTATGCACTGGCATGACTTTGGTTGAACTTTAGTTAAATTTGGCTGAACCTATTGAGTTATCCCACTTTTTGCATTAACAAATAAGGATAATACCCAAAAGGGACCAGCAAACGAGTGTAATTAGATGCTTGAACTCTTTCTATTCAAATGTCCCTTTGTAAGAAATTAGTTGACATTATTATTGTTTTGTTATGGCTAGAATGCCCTTGAAAGTTAATTGGTTTTCCACCAGAAAATGGTACAAATTAAAGAACTTTTCACTCCCCATGATTTGTTAAGATGGTATGATGAAGAAAGAAAATGGAGAGAATTTAAACACAAGAAAGAAACAATGTTCTGTAGTCCAATATTTTAGAGAATCCTCAGACAAACAAGAAAACTCACTAAATTACACTATATACTAGTATACCGGTATTAAAAAGACAGGATATATTCATCCATAGATAGCTTTTTACATTTATTCTGATTTTATTAATTATTATACGTGGTGTGCATGTCCATGGCCAGAGCTATTGAGCCAAACCCTTTGCCTTTCTTGCCATTTAATATTTCAAAACATGATGTCCTCCCATAATCATGTGAAGACATTGCCATGGAATGCAAACTTTATTAAAATAAAATAATAACCTTCCAAAATTATAATAAGCAGGAAGAGTGGTGGAAGATCATTAAGACTTGATTAAAATAAACAAGATTTCTAGGTTCCAACCAACCAAAACTACAAAATAAGTAATTAATTGAAGACCGTGTAACTTAGGCCTTGTGGACATGTCGCCCACCCTCAGGGCAAATCAAAACCAACGAGAGTCTGCTGAATGTCTCATTTGCCTTTGCTTTTGCTTATCTCACACACTCTCTCTTTCTCTCTCTCTCTCTTCTGTGGTTTAAACTTTATAGTAGCTTCTGCTATATACATGTATATATAAGGAGCCTAAGGTGGCGGCTTTTCTTTTCAGCCTTCCTTAGTTTCATTGATTGGAAGATATGGAAACATTAGAACAAATTGATGCTCATCAAACACAGTCATCATCATCATCATCTTCTTCAATTGATAGCAGCTACCACCCTTCTGGGACACCACCAGCTTCTTTCTCTTCATCTCTCTGCCTAACTAGTGTCTGCAGATATAGTAGCACCAGAAACAGAACTGATTTGAGCACTGACCTGAGACTTGGTCTTAGCATCTCTCCTTCTCAATCTGAACCAGAATTCAATTCAACACCAAGGTACATATACATACCTTCCCTCTGCCTTCCTCACTCCCTTTCTCTTGTTCTCAATTGCCCTTTTCTGAAGCTAAAAGCTTTGATATTTTAATGGATTTAATTCACTAATCTTGATACTATTGTTTGTGTAGAATATGTTTTATGCATATATGGTTAGTTGCATTAACATGTTAATCTATACTTCAGGGAACAAACTTTTGACTGGCCACCAATTAAGTCCATATTGAGGAGCACCCTAGTTAAGAGGCAACACCAACTGAGCCAAAGATCTTGTTTATTTATCAAAGTGTACATGGAAGGCATCCCCATCGGTAGAAAATTAAATCTGTTGGCACATCATAGCTATGATGAACTTGTAAAAGCTCTTGGCCATATGTTTAGGACCATCATTCTCTGTGAGCATTGAAACCCTCATAAAATCATTTCCTTTTTCAGCTTTATTTTTCTCTCTTGGACCACCATATTTAGGGATCACAAATTGTTTTTTCAGGCCCTAACCTTCAACCACTTAGTTCTGGGAATTTTCACGTGCTAACTTATGAGGATCAAGAAGGGGACTGGATGATGGTTGGAGATGTGCCGTGGGAGTAAGTGGATATGTACATCAAAATTGAACTCTTGAATTAAATGTTATTAGCTCTTCTACCAGCAACATTGGACCTATTCATTTTCAGTATTTTGACCATTTTGTATATAATACAGGATGTTCTTAACCAGTGTGAAGAGGCTGAAGATCACAAGAGCTGACAGATGCTAGTTAATTTATTAATTTTCTTACAATCTCTTACCACACAAGCTCCTCCTCAATTTTCACTGTTTATAAATTTTTGTTCTTGTTATTGATTAGTGAGTGGGTGAAACCCTTAGAAATTCCACAAAACAAAATGGTTTTCATGATTATAATATATGATAGCAATATACACCCAAAAAAGTAGATGCATTACTTCTTACCTAATTGTCAATTCAGTGCATAGCTACATCGTTTCTTTATCTCTTTGTTTTATGGTGGAGTCTGCTTTTATCAATCTTACCTACAATGCATTGCTAGAGTATTTCTTGGTGTCTCTCTTTTATGATGGAGTACACTAAAAAATTTCAAGCTTGTTTTGGAACTAGCTCAACTATTTTTGTAATAATTTGGTATATTGCATCTTCTTTTCATGAATCTTACCTATAAGTTGAAATACCAAACACCCAACCAACCCAAGGTGTAGCTGAAAATTTATCAAGGCTAATAGTGAAACAATGAAAAGCAGGTAAGATTTTCGTAATTTCCCTAGTGGTGCCTTTTTCTGCTGTAGCAGCTTTGAATTGCTTTGCTTTGCTTTGTTGGGTACATCATAATGCCTATGGTGTCCATACCCTTCGTGTCAAGAACAGTGGTTTTGCTTTCATTGCCGTAGATAGTGAGGAAGGTTCCATGAATTAAACAATCCAATATTCAAACACATGTACGCCAGAGATGTGAACTCATTTTGATTGTAGATCAAACATTTACCAGCTGACAATGATACTTCATTTGGACAATCATTGATAGCCCTTCAATTTCAAGTTTGTACTCTTGCTAAAGGACTAAAAAATATTGAACTTTTGGCGAGGCATTGGGAACCAAATGTCAGTCACATACACGGATATCATGCACTAAAATAGATTGCTTAGAGATATTTGTTAGTGCAATTTTTTTTTTCTTCTTTTGGTGAAAAATCACAATTCTATAATAGATTACAAAATTATAATATATAAATAAAATAAAATAATATTTTTGTTGATAGTTATTCCTTGTATGTGACTCAATGCTCTATCATGTTAGGCAATAAGTGGAGTCCATGGTAGAAAATTAGGGAAAAACACCATTTAAAAACTTTTTGGCAAAAGAATTACCGAGTTAAAGGTGATTGAATAAATTTTTTCAAACTAATGCGGTCAAACATGTCACTTATACTGACGGGACTAGTCCCGTCAACTGTACTGACAACACTCGTACCACGTCAGCGCCACGTACGCAGTTCCGTTATCGTAAAATTTCGGAAGACCATAACTTTTGACTCGAGTATCCAAATCAGATAAATTTTTTTTTGATTTCACATAACTTTTTGAGATCTACGCAATGACACCTCATTTGACATATTTTATCTCCCACAAACATAGTTTGAATTTGTGACAACTGTACCACAATCATAAGAGCGTTTAAATCTAGAAGATGGCACAATGGTGTTGGTTCGGAAAGAACTCAGGATCTTCTGGATTTAAATGATCTTGTAATTGTTGAACTATTGTTACAAATTCAACTATGTTTGTGGAAGATAAAATATGTCAAATGAAGTATCATTGCGTAGATCTCGAAAAGTTATGTAAAATAAAATAAAAATCATCTGATTTGAATACCCGAGTCAAAAGTTATGACCTTCCAAAATTTTACGATAACAGAATTGTCTACGTGGCGCTGACGTGGCATGAGTCTCATCATTATAGTTGACGAGACTAGTCCTGTTAGTATAGATGACATGTTTGACTGTATTAGTTTGAAAAAACTTATCCAATCAGCTTTAACTGAACAATTCTTTTGCTTAAAAATTTTAAAACGGTGCTTTAGCCTAGAAAATTATTATTAAGTGATAATTCATCATGATAAACAAATTGGACACCATATCTTAATCCAAAACTTTAAGCATTGAGTTTATGGTTAATTTTTCTCTTGTGTTTATTGGTACCCGATGTGGAATTTATTATTACTCACACTTGATTTAGCAACTTTTTCTCTCTAGTACGAATTCTAACATCTATGAACTTCCTCTCAAACGATAGTTTCTTCAAGTATTTACGAGATTACCAATCAAAAGTACTCAACTCTTGACTCTATAACAAGTATTTGACACAACCTCCTCCAAGCACAAACCATAACACTCACTACCATTTACAAATCTTTGGCCTAGCCAAACCATTTGCCCTACTACCCCTATCACGTGATCAAAAGAGCCCAAAACATTATTCTACCAATGAACTAAGAGGCAATTCACCATAACAAGTGAGTTAAATTTTACATCTTAATCTAAAATATTAACACGTTAAGTTTATGTGTTCTTTAACTTATATGATTCCAATTTAATCTACTCCTAACCAATATTGATTCAATCATGATTAAAAAATAAAATAACTGCACAAAAAATAGCAAGAAAATATATAGAATGATCATAATTTTTTCGAATTTGTGTGTTTACATTAATAAACATAAGATCTTTACCCAAAAAAAAAAAAAACATAAGATCAAATTAAATGTTTCACCCGAAAAAAAATATCAAAAGTAAAAGCACAACTTATTTTTAAGGGAAAAAAGTTTCCGATATTACTTTAGATAACTTTGTCTAATGTTCATCGAAACGACGTCGTTTTGGGGTTAAAAAATTAAAAATTAGAATGATAAAGACCATTATAACCCTGAAATAAATTAAAATTACAAAAACACCATGATTTCCGTCCCAAAACGACGTCGTTTCGATGAACTTTAGGTAAAGTTATCTAAAGTAACTTTAGAAAAAACAAACCCTATTTTTAATCATATTTTTTTTTCTTTATTCAAATTAAAATATCCGTTTGTTTGCTAAAAATCTTCCAAAAATAATTCAATATTGATTTTTTTTAAAATTTTAATTCTTTCTGTTTACTCTTTTTATTTGTTACTAAAATTAGATTAAAATTAATTTTAATTATATTAACAATTTTAAAAAAGACGACTAATAAGAGCCTGTTTGGATCCTCTTATTTTTAAGCTAGAAGCTACTTATAAGCTAAAGCTAAAAAAAAGAACTTAAAAAAAGAAGTTAAAAGCTGTTTGGAAATTACATAAAAAATTTAGCTTAAAAATTACTTAAAAGCACATATTTCAAGAAAATTATCTCTTTCTACCTTTATCTCTCTTCATTTAAAAAAAAAAGAACATAATTCAAAAAAAACAAATAAGAGCTTAAAAAAAGCTCCTCTTAGGAACTTTTGGTTTTTAACTTTTTTCTTCATTATAAAAAAGAGAGTTTTTCGTTATAAGAGCTTTTCCCAAAACTTATTTAACCTAACTTATGCTTATAAATAGCTTCTAACTTTAAAAAAAAAGGATCCAAACAGGCCCTAAGAAAAAAATTGTTTTGAATTAAGAGAGAAACATAATGACTTAATGAGTTAGTGGATTGATTTCAAACGAATTGGTGGGCCTAGACATAATAGATATGGATTGTTGACCTGAGGCCTGAAAAGCAAAGCCTAATCTTATTCCTAAAACATGATTTTTGGGATTTCATTTCCACACAGTAAAGTGTGGTACAAGAAGTAGTAGTAGATGCTGCCTTCAAGTGTTACTTTCATTTTGGTTTGAGGAATTTGCCATTTTCCGATCGAAAAGGGAAATTCAAGAATTAATTGTTATTCTAACAAAGCAGCATGAAAACCCCGGCTTCAGGTTTCTACCGAAACCCCGTCAAGTTCAGGATGTAAGTTCTAACTTCAAAAACATTTTCGCCATTTTGCTTTTGTTTTTGTAATAGGTTATTGAATCATAAATGTACAGGCCAACTGCAGAAAACTTGGTACCCATTCGATTGGATATCGAAATCGATGGGCAGAGATACAAGGATGCCTTCACTTGGAACCCTTGTGGTAAATTGCAACCTGCATAGCATTTTCAATAATCATAATGATGATAAATTGCTTGTATATATTATTATTATTATTATTATTACTATTATGCATTTTCCAAGTTCCAAATTACGGTTATTTGAAGTGTTTAGCGTACTTCTGTTGTTGTTGTTGATGATGATGATGATGAAGTTGAGGGATTTGGATTTGGATTAATTGAATTGGTATATTATAGATCCGGATTCTGAGGTGGTTGTGTTTGCAAAAAGGACTGTTAAAGACTTAAAGCTACCTCCGGCTTTTGTTACGCAGATTGCTCAATCAATTCAAGTAAACCAACCACATGACCATCTATCTCATTTGTTACCTTTGATTTCATTTTTCAAACATTTTACTAAATTTTATGTTGGTCTTCTGTTATCAGTCACAGCTGGCTGAATTTCGATCCTATGAAGGGCAAGACATGTATGCTGGTGAGAAGATTGTTCCAATCAAGGTCTCTCTTTATTGCCGTTTTGATGTCTTATGACTTGTGAAGGGAACTCCCCTCCCCTCCTTTCCTTTCTTCACACGCCAAAGAGAAAGACAAGTAGAGCATATCGTATGCTTATGTTAATTTCATCTCCTTTAATTGAATGTTTGCCTATTAACAATATTGTTTTGTTTCTCTTTTACAGCTCGATCTTCGTGTTAATCATACGCTCATAAAGGACCAGTTTTTATGGGTAAGATTGGAGAACAGGTGTTGTATGCTAATATTAGAACTGTTGTCTGCTGGTTTGCTGCACTTGTTTGTTGGTTCGGCTTGTATATGTGCGTGCCTAAAATCAATAAATTCTAGGACTTGAACAACTTTGAGAGTGATCCTGAAGAGATTGCTAGAATCTTCTGCAAAGACATGGGCATCGAAGATCCTGAGGTTGGAGTAAGTATATCTAATTATCATTTATCACTCATTGTAAATTAAAATAAAATGTTATACATCCATGTTCTGGTAATAGTAATAGTACCCATCATTGTGGACATGTTGGAGCAGTGTTAAAATCCATGCTCCCCAAGTAAGGCCAAGAAGGAATGATACGTGAAATTTTAAGTTATGTCGGCTTGATGTTATTTTCAATGATCCCTTGTTAGGACCCAACTAATATTAAGGTGTATTATAGAAGGAGGAGCAGGGAATCACAAACTCCGTAATTGCTGACTCAGCAAAGTTTGTTAGGATGAAGTTGGATAAGTAGTGGGAAGTGTGGCCGGAGGAGATATGGAATTTGGACCTTGGGAGATTGTGAAGCCTCTCCAGTTGCTTCACTATTCTATCTTTCTTCTTTTCTTGTCATTGTGTTTCTGTAATTTTCTTCTTTTCAGTTTTCAATTCCCAATTAGTTGCAACTTCTGTTTCTTCAATACATATATAAAAAATCTGGGTTTTCCACGCCAAAAGATTTGTGTTCTGTTATCTTTTACTGATTCTGTAGTTTGGTTCTTATCATCATTCTTCTTGGGAATGTAATAGAATTTTGGGAGGTGGCAAAATTGTGTTGTTAGTGCCTTTTTGTTTGTACTATAATAAGAAACAACATTTGTGTTAATGTAGGAATTAGATTTTTGTTTGCAACCATGAGATTCCCTCTCCGTTTCTTCCTAGCATGCATAAGCACAGACACTCTTGAAAAACTAGACATACTAAACAGAAGTGCTTCTGTTTTGCAGCCCGCTATTGCTTTTGCTATCAGAGAGCAACTTTATGAGGTCAACCATTCTATTGTTTGATTGATATATCGTGTTCTTAGGTTATATATGGTTCAGTTATCATAATCTTACTTTGTTTTCATATTTAGATTGCAATTCAAAGTGTGGTTTCAACTAGAGAAAGCAGAATGAGCAAGAAGGGCCGTCGAGGGGCTGACTATACTCCAGTCAGGTTTATACACTTGTGTCCTAGTTCTGTTGATGTGATAAATTCATTTTTATTATAATTCCAAGTGAGTATATGTATGTACCTAATCCATTATTTCATTACTGTCTCGTCAATGATCTATTAATAGTAAAGGAGGTGCTGTAGCAGTGGACTTGGTCAAGTTATTTGGTCAGAAATCTAGTGTAGTTCGGTGAGTCTGTTCGATAAGTTTGAATGCTCTTCTTTGCTGAAACTCAATAATTTATTACTGACCATTTATATCACCAGCTAATCATCTTGGAGTGCACATAGTAATGGTACTTATGTAGTTAAAATTCTTGTTGATATGGCACAATGTGACAGTTTCCTTATTAGTGTAGCTTGTAAGATTAAGTAATTCGTAAGCCTCAGAATTGGGTTAGGAAAAAGCATAGAAGCAGTGACATGTGTTTCTGTGGTTAAGAACAGAAAAAGGTGCAGATATCCATTAAGAGGAAAAACAGTGAAAATAGTGATGGAATAGAATAAAATAATTAGAGGAGAAAATGAATTTAAATTATTTGGAAATAATAATATATTTTACTTTTAATCTTATTTTTATATTTATAACCCTATAAATTTTGTTAGTTTATTCTTTCCTGTGATAAGGACTGTTTTGGAACTTTTGAGACAAAACGTGATGATGGAAAACTACACTCTTCAAAATTGTTCTTGCGTATTTTGTTTATATAAATTTTCTTATTACACTACATTTTCTCCTTATTTGTGCAATTTTTTAAACTAATTTAAACTTACGAGGCGTTTTGTATATTTTGTCTTTTTATAGTTTTACTTATAAAATTCAAAATGAGAACTTAAAAGGCTTCGCCTGTTTTGCTTCAATTCATCAGGAAAAGAAAGGAGTGGGACGTATATGAACCCATTGTGGACCTTCTATCCAACGAGGAAGTTGATGCCCTAGAAGCAAAGGAAGAGAGAAATTTCAGGTGAATTGGCCTCTGCCACGCCTAAAAAGAAGGGTATAATTCAATTAGAGCGGATGCTGGAGGTTTATAGGTCGAAGTTATTTTACTGTATAAAAGTTGGTTTCATCGGATGAGGAATCAATTATTCAGCTTATTGTTATCATTTGCTTGGTTTGGATTTAGGTAGCGCTTGGTACTTGGGTAAATTTTTGATTCCCGAAAACTGACATTGAGAATCTTATTTATCCATATTTGATATAAGGATTGTAAAAAAAATTTCGGAAAAATCAGATTTCCAGGGTTTATTTTTCTGAAGGAAAATCCCATTGAAGAATACTACCGGGGATTCCCACCCGGTGGAAAAATTTGCCAATCTTTGAGGTCAAAATTACCCCCTCTTTGCTCCCCGTGTCAATGGAGCTTCGTTCTCGTCGACGTGTTTCCAACCCTATGATTTCCGCAGCAGGGAAGGAGAAGCAACTGAAAAGATTTCTATTTTGTTTTGTTGGCTTCAAATCCATCACTGTTCATTTTGTACTGGTTTTGTTAAAGTACAAACACTAATCGTCTTCTCCATCCTCTGAATAGTGTTAGGGTTTGCAGAGTTGCATTTTGTTTTCATCCCCAAATATTATGTGTTTCTGTTTGACTCACACAATAGAATATAGCAATTAACCCCCCATAGCTTCGGTTCTGCAATTCACGAAATCCATTTACATCGGCAGCATCGTGCTGCCTTTCTTTGCGGTATGACATTTTGCCTAGACCTTATTATCAATTGCAATCAAGTAGCCGAATGTTTGAACCTTTTTCATTTTTTACTTTGAAAAGATGATAACTTCACTGCACACCACTCTTCTGCACGATTGGTATTGTTGATGGAGAAGATAATGCTTCTGACTTTTCTGATAGTAGCAAGCTTTTATGTAAACTGGAAGGTGGTTGTGTCACATAGGTTATTTTTGTAAAATCATATGATATTATTAGTAATATTTGACAATCAATCAAATATAGAATTAGGAAATTTGAATCAATATTTTTGATAATATTTTTGTCTACTAAATAGTTTTTTGCTCACATTTTCATAAAATTTACTTTTTCAATATATTTATGGGAATCATAATTTTTGAGAGGATTTATTCTTACAAAGTCAAACATCAATTGCTTATTGTGTCGGTGAATACAAAATGAACATAATGAAAGGTAAGCAATAGAGGTGTCTAACTAAGATTTTTATTCCTCATTTCGAATCTATTTCACACATAAGCGGTAAACTTTCCTTAAACTGAAGATAAATACTTGATGAGGGATTAAAGCTTAGCTAAGAAAAACTATCCACAGTAGAGGTGAAGGGTTAATACAAAGTGACCACCTCAGCATCTAAAATATATCATTGACTAATGATAAATTAAGAAATCGAAATCCACCGTCCTCCTTCCGAACACATGAATGAAATGGACTAGGTAATGGATACATAACACTCTGAGCTAGAACTTCCAAAGAATATTAACACGTGGGGTTCAGTCTATCTCAGCTTAGTTTGCCAAAGCCGAATCATGTGAAGACAAACTGAACAAATTACCTATGGGTGTGTGTGTGTACACTATATATAGAGCAGAGGAAAAAACAAAGCTACTCACGTCAGAGAGAGATTGAGGATATTACCTAAATATTAATATTTCGATAAAGGGAGAGAAAGATGTAGGTTTGTTTCGCGTAAGAGAATATAAAGGAGAGAAGAATATACCTGAAGAACAAAAAAGATTCCTTTTTGATTTTTTTCTGTGGAGTATAATAGGGATCACTAATTTTAAGAATTTATATATTTATTACCTTAAAAGTTCAGAAAGATTAAATAAAATCACTAGCCTTAATAAGAATTTATAGTAGAATAATATATTGTCCTGAAATCAAACCGAAATTTTGTTACGGTTAATGATAGTAATTTGCAATAACATGATTTGAAGAATTGGAGAGCATCAGTGTTGAAATATTGTAACTGAATTAGTTAGGTAATAACAGTAAGTAGCTGGTCCTCTTGTTGTAGTAATAGCCAAAGTTCCTATAAAAAAGTTTGTACTTGACTTTGATAAGGATATCAGAAATAATGTCAGTTCAATTTCTTGCTCATTTTTGAGTTTCTTTCACATATGTATACTTGACTTTTAGTTTCAATTGTTCGAATTGATAATTTTATACATTTGTATTCACCCATTTCACCTACGAGCAAGAAAGAGAAATTATCAAAACAAAATGAACAGAGGTGTTGCATTAAAATTGATTTGCAACTCAATTTAAATCCCACATTTTAGGGGGAGTTTCAATAATGAGAACATATTTCTAAATGAATCCAATTATTAGAAATCCAAACACAGTTTTAATTCTCAATTAACTTTTGAGTTCTAAAGAACCAGAGGTAAAATAAACGAATTGAACAGAGATTGGGGAGGAAGGGAGAGGGAAACATAGAAGATAGTGAATAGAATCTACCTTTCAATAAAATCTCGCCATGATTTTCTTGTATCAATCATGGGGATTCCCTAAAAATAACATTTTGACATAGAAAAATTACAAACTGAAACTGCCACCGTTTTCATCAAAGGAAAAGGGGCACTCATTCAAATCAAACACCTACAATCATGACTTTTAACATATTAGCATACAAAAACATTCGCTAATTGCTGCAGTGGGACTTTTATGTTTCATGTTTGGTTGGTAGAACTTAGAAGGGAAAGGGGAAAGAGTTGACTCAGGTTATGAAGAAGTCATGTTGCAGGCTGTGGATTTGGACTTATCAAGGATAGACCACATAACTTGAACATCTTCATAGCCACATGCCATGACTTCACCATGCAGATCCATTACACGGTTCTCTTGTTCTGCAAAATCATACCATACATATCAAACACATGATTATGTCACAATATATATATATAAATATAAAACAAGTGGTGGTGAATAAAGATTATGACATGTACCTGTTTGAGACTTCTTAATATGATCCCTTGTTGGTTGCTGGTTAAAGAAAGTGCAAGCTTTTTTGAATGGGGTTGTGATGGTCTTCTTCCAAGATGCCATTTTTGTAACTGAATTAATATACTGCCAAGTCTCTTTGCAATGAAATGAATGTATTTTTATATACTATGTAGAAGATGTCTGTGTAAGAGAATTAATATAGCAAAAGTAGGAGAGGAACACAAGACATACATACATACACAGAGACACACACAGAGAGAGAGAGAGAGAGAGAGAAGCAAGATCCGTGAGATGAGGCTATTGTATTGATGGAAGGAACATCACTCCTTTTTATTGAGTTCCCTTATCTCATGAAACTAAAGGTTGCCGACGGCACACAAGGAAAGCACATGGTGCACGCTCCCTCACAGACACCTCCATACACGTGATTACTTTTCAACTTGACTGTGCTATTATTTAATGAGGAGTGGACCCTCTTTGCCTCTCTGCTTAATAAGTTAACTTATAGCCTTTTCATTGAAGGCCCTATTCTATAGTCTATAGTATACAACCTTTTTTCTTAACCTTCAGTGCACAACTTTATCTTCACTTGTCCCTCTTTAACCCTTCTAGACTTCATCATACCACTTGTTTTCCCCGTGCCACGTTTCTCGGTGTTTCTGTGGCTTTGGAAAATAAGGTTGTATTGTTGTATTTGTGTTTCTCTAGTGCAAGACTACAATGGTGGTTTAGGTAAAATGTATACTTGTCTTTTATGCTTCTTTTTTTTTTTTTAATCTCTATGGGGATAGCAATGTTGCTGTGAAGAGAGGGACCCCAATTCAGCCAGGTCTGTAAATTCTGAGCTCTTTGTAACGAAATGAATTCACCAATGGACAAAAAGGCTTTGTTCCCCACTTAATGGCATGTGATAAAGATACGATTTTGGGAATGGGAACGTGGAAGATGGAACAACACAAGGCAATCCAAAAAAATCAACCCCTAGTGGGGTCTCGAAGATAGGGGCACTTCATTTTCAGCCACATCTAGTACCCAACTTTGACATTAGTGCCCATATTTTAGCTTAGGATTCATAATTTCATATGCACCTGCACAATTAAAGTATTAAAACTTTGTCTTAAATGTGAACGCTAGTGTGACGGTGCTTGATTCTAATTTCTAATCATGGGTTGACGAAGACATTGATATTTAAGTAATGATATATTGTTAGCTTCCGAATGCAGCTTAATTTTGTTTGAAAATCTCCATTTCCTCCAATACCTTCCCTGCAAAGCGTGTCTGGTCATTGGTTACAACAACATAAATCAAGAGATTAAACAATGAACACTACGTTACATCGAAAGTAACAGTTGTTGAGAGTCAGAATATTGCCTTATCTTTGGGTATCTGAAAAACCCTAAACAATGCAATCTTATGACAGTGTCATATCCACATTAGCATTAAATCAAAAAAAAATTATGCTTTGAGCCTTCAATGATGCAGTGCTCATATTTTATGAAATGTATTTGAATTTTTAAGGACATGGCTGAGAAACCACAATTGTAAAACAGTATTATGCTGTATGCCCTTTGGTCTCACTGCAAATGCTTTTTTTTTTTTTTTTTTTTTTTTTTTGACTAAATACTCTTTTTGGTTCTCAGCAAATTTCACGATGCCCCCTTTAGTCCCTAGCAAATAAAAAGGTCCATCGTGGTCTATAAGAAATTCAAAATGGATCCATTTAGTTGAAATTATGGTCCCTCACAAATTTAAAAATAACTCATTTTAGTCTCTTTGGGAACTAAAATGGGTCAATTTTGAATTTTTTAAGGACCAGGATGGGCCTTTTTATTTGCTAGGGACTAAAACGGATATCATAAAATTTGCTGAGGATCTAAGAGGATATTTACTCTTTTTTTTTTTTTGTGCGTATGTATTCCCTTTCACATGCAATATTAATGTCATGTGATGTGACTGACAACATAACAGTGAAAAATTATAGTTGGGATGAATAGTTTTATAAATTGAAAATAACAACACATTTGATTGAAAATGAATTGTGATGATTGGTGGGTGGTTTCACATGTAGACATACAGCATGTTTGCTGTTTGGTCATTCTTTTCCTCTTTATAATCCCTTTCTTTCTTTCTTTTTTTAATTTTCCCCTCATCATTATTATTTCTATTGAGCTACAATACTGTGAGATTTAAACTGGTCATTAAAAAAAATTGACAATTCTTAGAAATTAAAAATCTTTTTGTGAGCCATAAATTTTGGGTCGAATCACTTAATGGCCCATTCTTAAATCATACTAGTGGGCCCAAACGTGGTCTTAATTGGGTCAAAGAAGACGGAATTGATCAAAAGGGTGGGCAAAGTGCGGTTTGAGATACTGTACAATCTAATCATCTATTTCCAGAGACAAATAATCAACAATGGACCAATCACAAAGATTTAAAGCAACCAAGGATTTTGCAACCCAATAGTAAACTCTGCATGTCCGTTCCATTCCATTATTTATTTCATGCTTTACTTTCCTTATAACGCATGGGTCAGTAGGGCATGATTATGCATATATTGTCTCTTAAAAGCAGAGAATTATATCCCCACATCCATGTGTTTTTAACAGGGAGAGAGTTGTCTTATATTACAGATATATCAATAAACGTGTTTTATTATTATTATTTTTTATTTTAACACACGGTGAAACCTACTATGTGTTGATCTATGGCATAAAAAAAAAATATTTCCTGTAACAGAAGATTTGATGCTCCCTTTTAATATCCTTTAATGAGGTATGTATTTTATTCATTCTCGTATATTTGGTGACATGCTTGTAGTTTGAATGGCAAGTTGAAGTTTATCTAAATGACCTAATTAAAGGTACTCATTTAAAATATTTTCTACCTGGAGACTACTTATCAGTAGTCATTGTACTTTAAGGGATTTTCGTAGAAAGAGATGACTACCAATTGATATTTTTTTTTAGTAGGTAACCAATTGATATTAAGGTTGGCGCTAAAGAAAAAATCTTGCATAAACTTAATGCACTAATCAAATTAGGTATACTAACTAGACCAATAAGTTTGATTCACTGTTAATTATAATATTTACTCATTAATTAATTACGGTAGTTAACTACTAATTAATAATGTATTGACAATTTATTAATGAATTTAATTTAGTGTACCAGATTTATACAAGAATTAACCGGTATTATTATAATTAATTATGTGTAAATAATTTATTAATCTAATTTACCTAAGTTAAGTGTGTGGAACAAAGACTATGCAAAAATTTCAAGTGCTAGAGATTGATATTATAGAGTTAGGATTGGGATGTGTTTGCATACACCTTTGACCGATTCTATTCTAAGCGGTGGTGGATGGTCAATGAGACAAGTTCAAATAATGCATCTGAAAAAGGAACCTTCCTTCTTGCTAAAGCTTCAACTTCAGCCTCTTGCATGATTCTATTTTTTATTGTGATATGTAATTAGAAAAAGCATTAGCAGTTGAATAAAAAAATTGAGATTTTGGAAAAGCAAGTTCCATTTGAAACATAAATGAAAGGTCATGAGTTGAATGGTCGTCTACGTTGAGCTATTTCCACTTCTCTAGAATCACGCACTACTATGAAGGTGTGGTGTGCTTTCTTTGTATTTGTTTCTTCTTTCATGATGCATTGTTTTTATTATATATTTTTTCAGTGTTGAATTAATCTTTTTTCAAACATCTAATAGCATAACATGTCATTTCTAGTTTATTAAATTAGAATTTATCTTTTGAAAATGGTCAAGTCTATTAATGCACCTTCTTTTCAAGAATAATAATTGATTCTTATTGTTTTCTTAACTTTGAATTTAAATAATAACGACTTAGGTTAATTCACCCGGAAGTACGGTGTATGCATATGTTAATTTTTATATCTTCAATTGCCTTTCAAACAATTTTAGATATTTAAACGAAGGGAGATAGAGTTTGAGGCCTCATGTTCCTCAAGGCGTGAAATAAGATGTTTTAAATCTCCAAATCCTGAAGATGAAGTGCGAGAAATTAACTATTACTTGCATTAGATTTTAATATGATTCCTTTATATTTTATTAAGGGTTTATTCAAATTAATTTTAAACAGAAAAAAGAATTTAACATTATCTTCAAATAAATATCAACCCAAAGAAAAAGAATCTTCAAATAAATAACAATATTTAAAGGGTTTGTTTATTCTAAAGTTATTTAGATAACTTTATCTAATGTTCATCGAAAGGATGTCGTTTTGAGGCGAAAATCATGATATTTTTATAATTTTAATTTATTTCATGGTTATAATAGTCTTTATCTTCTAATTTTTTAATTTTTCAAAATAACGTCGTTTCGATGAACATTAGACAAAATTGTCTAAAGTAACATTAGATACTTTTTCCCCATATTTAAATGTAGCTATGTCAATCATGCACAGTAGAAACATAAACAATGATACCAACTGAACGATATTTTAAACAACAGTAAATAAGGGATATAAATAGGAAAAATGAAAATTAAATATTTAGTAAAGTGTTAAAATAAATATAAAAGTAGGGTGAGGTTATATTTACAAATTTTTTTATTTACAAGCTCTTACAAACTACACTATGTAGGACCGGTCCTACATTAATCACACAGTGTACGACCGGTCCTATATTAGCGTAATTGCAAAAAAAAATTGTAAACGGATCCTGTCCTTAAAAGTAGTATTGCTTGCACATTTTGCTGCCATATTCTATTTCAAAAAAAAATTAATACTCGAAAACTTTAATAATCGGTTCGGTTGAAACAACAGACCGGCCATGTATCAGAACCGGTGCGACCCGATCCGACCTGGCCGGTTTTTATAAAAACCAGTGACCCGGTCAGTTAACCGATGACCCGGCCCGATCCAAAAAAAAATCATCATGGACATTTTTGAATAGTTTTTTACTTATTGACTTACATAAGTTATATACCTACAACACTAATATTATCTCAATTATGTATTATGCAGAAAATTTTGAATTAATTTATAGTTAGAGATGTCATTTTCTGAACCTAAAATCCCGTATCACAATCATTATATTTTTGTTTGATCTTTTATTGGATAATAATATGTGATTTATTATTTTTTATATTAAAATATTTGAAATTTTTATCATTTTTTTATATTTGAGTATGTTTATAATTTTTTAATATAAATTATAAAATTACATATAATTACCGAGTCATGCGATTGAACCAGTGACCCAGTACCTCGACCGAGTCGATTTTAATAACATTGATCTCATGTTATATGAGATAATTTTTTTTAAAATACAAGAGAAATATTTGGAGATACTTTTTTTAGTACTCCCTTATATTATATTAAATTACTAGACAACAATCCATCAACTTGTATACATATCTCAGAGAATATCTATAAGTATCTTATAAAGTTAGAATGTTAGTCACTTACACAAAAAAATAAAAGTATATACAAATATGTATACAAATATACTTA